TTCCAGAGAATAGAAAACACAAGGAACCACTCCCACCAACTTCAGAAGACCCACCAGCCTCAGAATCCTTGGACTCCTTACAACAATCTGCTAAACCACACCAGCCTACCATGGAGTCCTAGGTGTGCAGAAACATGATTTATCTGAGGATGTAAAAAAAAAGTGAACCATTTCCCAACCCTGTGCTTTTACACACAAGGGATTTCTAGTGTCTCTATTTTTCCCTTCACCTCAGCTGTCATTTTTGTCACAAGCATATAACATTCCTCTCTCACCCAGACAACTGCAACTGAAAGAAAAATTCCCCTCCACTCTGCTTTCCACACAAATACCCCAGTGGCACTGTGTGTGTGCACACTCAGAGTGTGTGTGTGTGTTGCGCGTGCAACTTTTTAAAGCTTTTAGAATCACCGTTAACTTAAAAAAATAAATTAGCTTGTCAGTGGTGGTGCACGCCTTTAATCCCAGCACTTGGGAGCCAGAGGCAGGTGGATTTCTGAGTTCGAGGCCAGCCTGGTCTATGGAGTGAGTTCCAGGACAGGCAGGGCTATACAGAGAAACCCTGTCTCGAAAAACAAACAAACAAACAAAAATTATACATGGGCTGAGAAAGTTCTGAAGTTTAAAAAGGTACAGTTTCCTTCCCTCGTAAGAAAGTTTCTTTTCTTTCAAAAAGGGTGCCATGCATCTATCCATAGACACACGTGATTCATTTTTAGTTTTAACTCACGTGATTCATAATTCTCTGTATCATCTAACATCTAATAGGGCAGCCACCACCCATATATGGGTCTGCCAGCTTGACATGTGGCCAGTGTAACTGAGATGCTAATAGTTTACTTTTAGAGGGTTTTCAATTATGTATCTGTGTTTGTAAGTGCAAGAGCCCTTGGAGGTCAGGTGCCCCAGAGCCTGGAGCAAGGTTACAGGTGGTTATGAGCTGCCTGAAACGGGTGCTGAGATTAAACTCTGGAAGACCCACAAACACTCTTAACTGTCGAGCCTTCTCTCCAGTACCAAAACTGTAGTGTTTTAAATGTATACTATAATGATTTAAGTTTTTTTTTTAAGTCAGTGAATTTATATTTGCATCAAGGTCAAATTACTTCTAGCTTGAAGAGCAGAGACCACAGCATGCATGTAAGCACAAGGAGCACTAAAGGGAATTGTGTGTGGCCATTACCTTTGAGCAGTCCAGCTGCCGTCATCAGTTCCCAGCACGCTGCTCCCAGCCTCCCTCTCTCTGCCTAGGATTCCTGTCCCTCCTCCTCATGCCCTTCCACACACAGGATGCAGCTGCCATGTCTCTCAGTTTAAGTCCCACACTGGAAGAATTTTCTGGTCACCAGTCCCCAGAGCATCCCCCAGCACAGAGCCTGGGGCTGGGAAATACTTGCTCTGTATATGCATATTGACCCTGTCACCCAAAACTCTTGGGAAACACAGTTACTTACCATCCATGATAGTTCTATTGACAGTGTGACACAATCTACATTCCCCTGGGAAACATCTCAGTGAGACTGTCTCTATTAGGCTGGCCTTTGGATGTGTCTGGGGGATTGTCTTGATTATGAATTGATGAGGAAGACACAGCCAGAAAGTGGGCATCACCTGAGTTTGAACTCTACCCAAATGAGTAGAGGAAGCTCTGGAGCGGCGGCCATGCATGCACTCATCCCATCTGTATTCCTGACAGAGGATGTGACTAGCTGCTTCAGGTCCTTACCTGGCTGCTGCATAGCAGTAGACTACAACCTGGGCCTACAAACAGAATAAACTCTTTCTCCCTCAAAGTTGTGCTTCTCACAATATTCCAGCTCAATATCTCTGCTCACAAATAGCTGTGGACTGAAATGCCAGGAGTGGGTTCTTGGAGATGACGATCTTGCTGCTACCCTCAGAGTGCACGGTAAAGAAGCCGTAGGTCCATCTGAAGGATGCTGGCAAGGTGGGAACAATTCGTGGAGAGAACTTTATGTCCAATGTTACCAGCTAGCCACTTTCCATGAATTTCCCACTGCATCGTCAACAGCTTGAGCAAAGGGACCACGATCCCACCTTACAGATGGTCTGGCACACTGGGAAGCGGTATGGGGCCTTCCTTTGTTAGCTTAGGGCTGTAACAAGGTAACAACAGTCTTGGCAGGCGAGAAGACCGCAGTGCTACGGAACAAACGCTGGTGGCTGGTGAATAAGCACTCTACCACCCCAGCACCAACTCCCAAGCCCTACAGAAAGACACTGTTTCAAAGAGATAAGATGTGTTATCACACTGTTGTGATGCTGACACACGTCTTTAATACCAGCACTAGGGAGGCAGAGGCAGGCAGGTGTCTGTGAGTTCGAGGCCAGTCTGGTCTACAGAGTGAATTTCAGGCTGGCCAGGACCTCACAATGAGACCATGAAACAAAGAAAGATGAAAAGAAGAGGAGGGCAGGAGGGACGGAGGGAGGGAGGGAAGGGAGGAAGGAGGGCAAGGAAGAAGGAGGGAAGGAAAGAAGGAGGGAGGGAAGGGAAGGAGGAGGGAAGGGAGGGAAGAAGGAGGGAAGGGAAGAAGGAAGGGAGGGAGGAAGGAAAGAAAGAAGGAAGGAAGGAAGGAAGGAAGGAAGGAAGGAAGGGAGGGAGGGAGGGAGGAAGGAGGGAAGGAGAGAGGAAAGGGAAGGAGGAAGAAAGGAAGGAAAGGAGGAAGGGACAGAGGAGAAGAAAGAAGATAGGGAGGAGGAGAGAAAATAAAGAATGAGAAAGGGTTAAAATTTCCCTGGGGAATCTCATGTTGAAACAACAAAAGGCTGGAGCCTAGTGCTAGCCAGGACAAACTTATGTCTCAGGAAGATCTCCTACAGTCCTGGTGACTTGTCACTACTTTCCGAGGGGACTAGGGGAGACACTGAAGGCTCAATGATGTACACACCCTAGGTGGGACTGCAAGTTGACCACAAACGGTTGCATTCTTGGCAGTCTGCTTAAACCTGAACCTCAGAGGCTGAAGGACGCTCAGTGGTTAAGCATACTGGATACTAGTCTTTCAGAAGACCAAGGTTTGATTCCCAGCATCCACATGGTACCCACATTACAACCTTCTGTAACTCTAGGTCCAGGTGATTTGATGCTCTCACCCGGCCTCTGTGGACAACAGGCAGCATGGACATGTAATACAGAGACATACATGCAGGCAAAACATTCATACACAAAAAATAACAAAATACTTTAAAAAAAAATGTAGTCTAAACTTTATGCCAATGCCTAACTCTGAGGTTCCTGTAGCTCTTTGTCATCTTACTAACATGGCCATGTCTGAGTAAATCTTTTTCTGCTTTCTCTATTATTTTTCTCTGTAGCTGGGGACTTACAGCAGAGCCTGGCTTACCAGGCCGCCCACACCACACTTTGACCCTAAGGTCTCCGATACAATTCTAGAGAATGACGGGGGCTGTTAATGATATGCAGTCCAGGTTTTCCCCATTTGCTCAAGGTACCCAGAAGTCGAGCCAACATTTGGACACTTTTCTCTGTCTCCCCTTCTGGGTTTCAGCAGCCCGTTCTATCCCAGCAGCAGGCTCCTAACACTGCAACAGTCCTCGGAAGACCAGAAGTCATCTCACTTAGGATGCGGACGTCAGGAATGGCCAGGAGAAGCCGCATGTGAAGCCAGCGAGGCCAGAAAACAAAAGTGCAATTCTGGAAGGAATTTACTGACAGAAGAGTCTCAGCAAGGGATTTCCCTCACCCAGGAAAGGCAAAAGAAAAGGCAGCCCTGGGCAACTGAGGCTGTAAAAGAAAGTTCTTCAGTGTCCTCTGGGAGGAGGAGGGTAATGGAGGAAGGGACTTGTGAGGGTTGGACTGGAGAGGGGCTGCAACTGGAATGTAAAGTGAATAAATTAATAAAAAAATGAAGTTTAAGGAGGATTGTAGGACCTCCAACCACCCTTTCAAGATCTAAAAAGCATTAAGTTTCATGTTATTTTTTTGAATTAACACAAAAATGGCCCTTTTTCCCAGTTTATTCATTTAATGTTGTTTTTGACTGAAATTAAACCATCTTTAGTGGCAATAAGTACTCAGAATTAAAAAATAAATTTCAAAAAGGAAGTTCTCCAGAGAGCACGTAGTCCTTCAACCCTCAGGGAAAAGGTCCACCTGGCCAGCTGAGATCTGGAAGGTTTCAGATCCTCGGACAGGAAGCAGTGACATAAGGCTTCTGCACTTGCTCAAGTCCTGAGAGAATGAGCTGGAGAAATGAGCCAGGGTCAGAGGTCAGGTAGGCTAGTCGGGTGGAAGGTACTGGGTGGATGGAATTACGGCTAGGGAAGCACATCCAGCCCAGAAAGTCTATTCATGGAGACCTGAGAGTTGGTGGTAGGTCCAAGGAGCAAAGCCGGAAGCAGGACCACAGAAGGGAGAGTCTGCTTGGAGCCTCTGCAAGGAAGAGGCTGATGCCAGTCAAAGCTAGGCCCATGTGGGCGTGAACAAACCCAAGACATCAGGAAAGATGTGTCAGATGTCTGGAGGGCAGAAGAAGGCAGCAGCCAGTGACACAGGAGCTCTCTCACTGGACACACAGGACAAGATGAAGGAACAAACCTGATACCTTGATACTGAAGGAGCCTCAGTTTTCCCATCTATAGCTTTCTAGTAGAAGATCACCTGTTCAAGTAGGGTTCTATCAAAAACCACTCCCTCAAGTGATTGCAGTTACAGTGAGAGATGACAGAATTCAAAAACTGAGGCTGCAGAAGAAGCAAAGGAGAGAAGCTCCTCTATCTCATATTAGAAAACCCAGGACTGGGATGGAACTGGGATGGAGAAACACCCACTGCTGGGGACAGTTGTCTTGATGGTGGCTGCAGCCTGGTGCGGGGAGGGTTAAGCATCTTGCCTTTCCCACACGCCCTGAATCTGCTTGTCCTCCCACATTTACGTCTTCTGAAAAATATTCAGCCTGCAGCCTGTCTCATTTGGTGCTCCAGGCCCTCCCCTTCCCCCTCCTTTGGCTCAATGCAAGAGGAAGGTCAGGGAACTTTGGGAAACGGGAAACTCCAAAACTCCGGACTCTGGGAGAAGGGTCAATGGGAAAAGGCGGGGCTTTGGGGACCAAGAGAGAGGAGAAAAGGGAGATGAGGGGGTGAGAGGGGACAGCTGCCAGGGAGCTGTTGGAGGGACCACACAGAAAAAGGCCTCGCTAAAGCAACAAACCTGATATTTCTCAAGGTACCAGAAAGAGGCTGGGGATTTGGGACATGGAAGGAAGACCCAAAAGGAGGAGAAAATGGCTCAGAAAAGAGGCTGTAGTGGCCATAGCCAGCAGGACTACTTCCCGGCACTGTTGGCAGGGAACTCTAAAACTTTGCTGGCCCCAGGAAACAAGGCCTTGCAGAATGGGAAGGGCTAGTTGGATACCAATGGAAATTCAGAAAGGGGCACTTCTGTCCCCAGGGATAGGTCAGACCACCACCACCATAGCTCCAAGAGCTAAAGAGCATACACCATCTTTGCAGGACCATAGGACTGAGGTGAAGTCATGAAGTGCCTGCTGATCTCCCTGGCCCTGTGGCTGGGCATCATGGGCGCACATGGGACAGAGCCTGAACTCAGTGAGGTACAGCGCAGGGGCTTGCAGGTGGCTCTGGAGGAGTTCCACAGACACCCACCTGTGCAGTGGGCCTTCCAAGAGATCGGTGTGGACAGCGCTGACGAAATGGTTAGTGGCGTGACTGGGTAGAGGATGGAGGCGTTGCAGCCCTGGGGACCAGTGAACTCCCAGAAAGTTTTACTGGGAAAGGTCCCCAGCCTGCCACCCTCCTAGGGTGTGCCAGTTCTAAATTAAGGTGTTCGGGGAAAGGAGTAACATCCAGGAATTACCTGCTGGCCTTCTTCTTGTCTGTCTGTCTGTCTGTCTATAGGTCTTCTCAGCTGGCACCTTTGTGAGGTTGGAATTTAAACTCCAGCAGACCATCTGCCACAAGAAGGACTGGAAAAAGCCGGAGTGCACACTCAAACCAAACGGGGTGAGTGAAGGGGCTCTGCTAGGGTAGGAACTGGAGTCCAGAGAAGCACTGTGCTCATCGCTGGGGGCTGTCTGCAAAGAAGGGAAGATGGAGGGAAAATAGAAATTTCTCCATCAGAGTGAGTCCTCCTAAAGAAGCTTCTCTGTGGAGTTTATCCTGTATCCTGGCCAGGATCTATATAGAGCCAGTTCATCAAAGGGTTTCACAGTAACTGCCCACCCTAAGGGTGACACTGCTGCTATGGACTGACCTCCGGCTGGAGGGGCAGCACTTTTGAGTTAAGGTTCTCTAACAGCTTTGTGGGTTCACTGAAGGTCCTTGTTCCCTCCCGGGGCTAAGGGAAGGGACTGGATCATACTGGCAATTTAGCGATATAGCGAGACTCTTGGTTTCAAAGACCTTTTGTTCAAATTAAATCTTAAAGGAAAAATGTAAATAAATATGAGGCCAAGGTGTTAAGGGCCCTTGCTGTGTAAGCACAAGGACCTGAGTTTGAATCCCAGCATCCACATGAAAACAGCTGGGCGTGGCTACACAGGAGTATACCCAAGGCTTGTTGGGTGCCAGTCGTACTACAGGTTCAGTGAGAGATTTTCTGCCAAGGGGATAATAAAGCAGAGTGGTGAAATGAGACACATACATGCACAGGCATGAGTACACACACAAACACACACACACACGCACACACGTACACAGATACACACACACCAGAGAGAAACAGAGATAGACAGACACCATCTGAGGAAGATTTTTGCTTTTAAACATGTTTGCACACTAACACAGGACCTTGTGAATATGCCCATGGAGTCTACTGCCTGTGAGCAGTACACATATGCATGCCCACACAGGAATGATTCCTGCACAGGCTAAAGTACTATTGTCTGCAGCCGAGCCAAGGGTAGCACACACTTGAAATGCCACCATTGGAGAAGTTAAAGTTTTAGACAGTCTGGGCTACTTCTTGAGACTATGTCCCAAGAATAGAACTTCTAAAATCTCCTATCCCAGGATAAGTTGTGTGTCCATCTGGCTTGCATGTCACCTTGCCCCTTGGATTTAGTTACGTTCCTGTTGCTGTGATAAAATACCATGACCAAAGCCAACTTAATAATAGGAAAGGTTTATTTTGGCTTAGGGCTCCAGAGGAATAAAAGTCCATCATGGTGGGAGGCAGGGAGATGGGGATGCCAGCAGGCATGGCTGCCAGAGCAGGAAGCTGAGAGCTCACCGCCTTCCGTGTAAACAGGAAGCACAGTGAATTGGGAGTGGTCCAAGGTTTTAAAATCTTAAAGCCTGCCCCAGTGATGTCCTTCCTCCAACAAGGTCAAACCTTCCAAACCTCCCCACACCGCACCACCAATTGGAGACCAAGTATTCAAATATCTGAGCCTATGGGGGACATTCTTATTCAAATCACTACAGCCCTCCTCTCTAGTGCCAGAAGGGCTAGTCTCCATCCTGACACTCCTGTTCTCTTCCCCAGAGAAAGCGGAAATGCCTGGCCTGCGTCAAACTGGACCCCAAGGGTAAAGTTCTAGGCCGGATGGTCCACTGCCCAATACTGAAGCAAGGGCCTCAGGTAAGAAGGAAGAGAGGTTGGGGAGAGGCCTGGAGGGACAGATCAAATCTGGGTGTGTGGAAGAAGTACAGGAAACCTGGAAAGAAGAGTTGGGTAGGGGGCAGCTGGGACATTCCCCTGGGGGTTGTGGCGGTACCTCCGGACTTCCTAGGCACTGCTGCAACAAACACTGGTTCTAGCAGGAGCCTCAGGAGTCGCAGTGCACTAAGATAGCACAGTCTGGAGAGGACCCCCGCAGCTACTTCTTCCCTGGACAGTTTGCCTTCTCCAGGGCCCTGAGACCCAAATAAGCCCTGGACAGGTAAGTGGTTAATGGGGAGAGCCAGCCCTCGCATGGAAATTGGGCTGAGGGAGGAAGACAAGGGACATGTGAGACGTGAAAAAAAGCTAGGATCAGGCCAAAACAACCTCCTGCACACCCAACCTGGCTTTCCCTTCTTCTCTAGGACTTCATCTTACTCCCCGTACAGCTGTGGCAGTACCCAGCAGAAGCATGTCGCCTCCCAAAGACTTTCCAACTCCAGGCTAATAAAACTGCTGAGTCTGTTCCTTTCCGACCTTGTGTTGTTCTTCCCCCAGCTCGACCTGTAATATAAGGAAAGCTCAAAGACTGTGTGTGTGTGTGTGTGTGTGTGTGTGTGTGTGTGTCTGTCTGTCTGTCTGTCTCCACACTTCCTGCTTAGTACCAGAAAGAAGCAGGTAGGGTAAGTGTAGTAGCCTCCCACAGGACCACAGCAGAGGTACAGAAGCCTGTGTATTTGCTGAAGAAGAGACAACAGGCGATACATATGAGCACGGGACTATTTAATAAGAGTTAGCAGGTGGCAAGTAGCCTTACCCGCAAAGCCTTAGGTGGGGCATCTGAGGGAGCGCAGGCTCACCATGCCCGGAGCCCCCAGAGCCTGGCTGCAGTGTATTTGCCAGATAGTGAGGGGATCTCTTCTACCTTCTAGAGGTGACCTAGAAAGCGTTCTCCTGCGGGCGTAGGAGGGCAGGAAGTGTCCTTGGAGAGATGTAGGAAGCTCTCAAGAGAGTGATGAATGAACAACCTAGTTTGCAGGTTCGGTGACCAGAAATAAATAAATAGAGAGGCAAGGGCATGGGGCAGGGAAGGAATGTCTAAGATCAGACGACCTTGGCTATGAGTTGCATTCAGAAGACAAAGGAAGAGCTGGTTTCTGCAGGGCTGAGAGCCTGCTGGGCCTGGGCCAAGCTCTCACCGGCCTGACGATCCAGGTCAAGACATTCCTGCAGTGAGTCCTGAAACTGCCGGCAGGCCTCCTCCAGAATGGAGCTGCTCCGGATGGGCCAGGACTCCCAATAGCCGGGCTCTACCCATGGCTGGGCCTCGATGGCTCTGGGGCCTGGGCTGGAGCTGGAGCGCAAGGAACTGTCCAGGTCTCGGCATAACTGGTATAACTCACTGCCCCGCCCACTCACACGTTCCCCATCTATGACTTTGAGGCCAGGCAGCAGCTCTCGGACCCCAGCCCAGTAGGAGGGATTTGCACATAGCGGGTTGCTGAGCCGAGCCAAAGGGTCCCGGAGCCTCAGGTGCTCCAGGCCCTGCAGCCCAGCCAGACACTGCAGCTGGGCAGGAGTGGTCAGCAGGTTACCAGCGGCATTGAGGCTCTGCAGGTTCTCACAAGCTGCTAGTGGCTCCAGCCCTGTCAGCCGATTATTGGAGACGTTGAGCACAGCCAGCTGGCGCAGGGATGCCAGTGGGCCCAGGTGGGTAAGTGCATTGCCTGATAGGTCAAGCCACTCAAGGTTCAGGCACTCCCCCAAACAACCCAGGTCCATTACCCCTAAACCCCGAAGTTTCAGCAACAGGATGGAATCCAGGGCAAACTCTCCAGAGTGGGACTTCAGCAGCTGGGGTGTGATACTCAGTGCCTCAGCCTCTCCTGGCTTCTCTCCAGGAGGCTCCATGATACCGAAGGTTCACACAGCCACAGCAGGGCCCTGGCAGTGCTGTTAGTCACAGGGACGCTGGTGCCTCTGAGGATCCGCTTGCTGCTCTCCCTCAATTCTGCTTGGGCCCTAAAAAAGAGAGACAGACAGTCAGGCCAGCCTCTCCTGGGCATGCATCCTGTGCAGCCCGGAATTGCAGCATGCCATGCAGATGGCACAAAGTCCTTACGCTCACAGAAACCAGAAATGTTAAACACACAGGGTTGTCGCTTTGGGGGGGGGGCGCTTGTTTTCTGCTCATAGGACTGTGAATAAACGTGGTTAGCAGCCTAGGTGACCTCTGTGCTCTCTGTGTGAATGAGCCCACACCAGTCTGGAACCTTAAGATGGCACAAGTAGTCTATTTATAGAACCCATCTTTATGGAAGAGGGGCATCTACTTTGAAAAGAGTGTCCGTGTAGTTATGCCCTTAGTTTTACTGTGCACATGGGATTGTGCTACACCAGGAAACTGTTTTCCAATATTGTACAAGCTCTGAGCTCTGTTGGCATTGGCAGTGTTCTAATGTTTTTTTTGTAGGTGTAACTGCCTGCCTAGCTCAGACTGCCTAGTCTGGGCCCCCAGCCAAAGTCTGCAGTTTGGAATGAGGCCTGCTTTTGTTTTCCTGCCCGTGTGACCCTGTATCCTCTATGGGCAGCAACAGCACTGACCCTCCCCACAGGCAGCCTTCTCTCACTGATGTCACACACACTTGGGCTCACTGACCCACAGCCACTAAAGATGCGCTTGCCGCCATCCCCCACACTCCAGAGCTATGTGAGGCACTCCTTTTTGCTCCAAAATGGCTTCCGGGACTTCTCTGCCTCCCCCGGCTTGCCCTTTGGTACCGTGATGCCACAGCCTCAGTAACACAGTGACACTGTCCAGCACACAGTGACCGTTGCCGTCCTGCTGATCTCTGAGAAGTGGTGTCGAAGAAGAAGGGCCGGGTGGGGAGCAGGGAGACTTGGTTAGGGGCAGCCTGGAGGTAGAGCAGTATGTAACTAGCTCACCCCAGCTCCTCTGTTAACTTCCACCCTGTCCTACCTTCCTTAACTTCAGTTTCCTCAGTACCCAGGACTAAAAGCTGAACTACCCCTCAGGCCTTAGAGCCCCAGCCAGAGCTGCAAGTTGGTCTGCATCCTCTGGATACCATTCTAAATGGTGATAATGTTGGGAAAATGGAAATAATATTTTTGAGTGAATGAAAGAAGTTATAGCACATCCTTACCTGGGTCTGCATTCCAGGAAGGTGGTAATGACCTGTTGTCTATTTTAAAACAAATTCAAGCCTGAAGTGGTCATGTAAACCTGTAAACCTATTTCTGAGGGGTGGGACAGGGTGGAGGAGGGCAAGAGGAGTGAGAATTCAAAGCCAGCTTGAATTCCCTATTTTAAAAAACAAAAACACCAGCCAGGTAGTGGTGGTGCACGCCTTTAATCCCAACATTTGGGAGGCAGAGACAAGCGGATTTCTGAGTTCCAGGCCAGCCTGGTTTACAGAGTGAGTTCCAGGACAGCCAGAGCTACACAGAGAAACCCTGTCTCTAAAAACCAAAAACCAAAACAAAACCACCAACAAACCAGCCAATCAACAAAAAGTTAACTTTTCAAAATGGAACCCTTTAGGGTTAATAAAGATGTATCATAATAGTCGCTGGAAAAGTTAAGTAATGATGGTGCTGTGAGCCTGGTTTCCTCCAAGGAGGGGATACTTACTGTTAGTATTCTGTCTAAACTCCACCTCCTCAGCTACCTGGCAACAGCCAGGTAGGCCTGCCCACTATAAAAGGGGCTGGTTGTGTAGCGTGAAAAATTATAGATACTGGGTATATAGAATCCTTTTTAGATATAAAATATTCTTTAGGCTTTCTTTATAAAGACATGGAGGCATGAAGCAAGTTAAGAATGTGGACAGACTAGTTACGGGAACTGGCTAGAATGCAATTTAGCCAGGTGGAACCAAGCTGAGAACCATAGTGACAGGGCAAGGCCGAAGTAACAGAGCAGGACCACATTCTTGAGAAAGATAAGCGTACAGAGAGTTTTCACCTGATCCTGACTCACGTAGGTTGGGTTCCTTTGGAATGTTCTGCTATTTTTATGTTATGCCACCTAACAACCATGAGCCCCCTCCCCATTCCTTGGTTTGTGGTTTTTCCCCTTAAAAACCCCTCTCAAACTGGCTGTCAGGATCAATTCAGCTCCTCCGTGGGCATACGAATTGACCGGCAGCTAGCTGTCACGCCCTAATAAACCTCGCAATTGCTCTGGTACACAGTGTCTCGAGCAGATTACTGGGTGGCTGCGACTTTCTGAGACTTGAGTGAGGGTCTCCCCTCTGAGGAGGTCTCCAGTTGCCCCCTCTTCTCTCTCTTACCCTCTTGCTCTCTTGTTCTCTTGCCTGTAGCTTCTCTCTGCCCCCCTCCTCCCTTCCCTTCCCCCTCTCTCCACGTGGTCATGGTCGGCCACTACACCTTTACTTCTCTGCTCGCTCTCTCTCTCTCTCTCTCTCTCTCTCTCTCTCTCTCTCTCTCTCTCTCTCTCTCTGCCTCTACTACCCTCCTGGCTCCCCTCCCCATGCCCTGAATAAACTCTATTCTCTGCTGTACCAGTGTGTGACTGGTCCCTCAAGGGGAAGAGATGCCTGGGCATGGCCCCCTGAGACATCCCCTTCCCCTATACCTCTCCACACACCCACAGAACATACTCTTTATCTTTTTATAAACACTCCAGCGGATGTCTGCAGGTTTACATCAGACCAGCTAGACTTGCTTTCCCACGTGCACAACCACCTGCACAAAGGGCTTGGCTACCCGAGCATTCAAGGGAGGCGTTCCCTCTCCATCTCTGCCTGAGACCTGTAAAGTGAGTGCTAGCGGTGCCTTCTGCTACAAAAACAACTAACATGAACGTTGTTGTGATATGGGACACGCTTGCTTTTCCTTGCCCACCGCAAACTCTAGCCGCCAGAGACACTGGGCAGCAACTTCCGGCCGCTAGCAGGAAGTCCCGCCCTACTGCCACTGCTGCCCAACCCCCTCCCCCACCCCACCCCACCCCACCCTCGCCAACCATATGATCCAGCTTTCTTATTCTGGTCCTAGCCAAATGTTTCTTTGCTAATACAAAAAAATGTGCTTTTCTCTACCTACACAACCCGCCAAAGTTACTTAAGACAGGATAGGAAAGGCTCTGTCTTAGTAGATTTTCACTACTGCTATTAAATTCTATTCAGTTACAACCATCTTGTCAGAAGTCTGCTAATAGTATATTTAAGTTTATGGCCAACAGAATTCCCAAAGCCTCTAACAGTTGACCCAAGATGGTTTCAGAAGACTTGTACACCAGCCACCTAGAAGATACAGCCTGGATTGTATGTGATAATATAGTCACTAACAAACACAATGGGCTAAACTGGATGCTCTGAGTCAAATGACTTAGCTAAGTCAAACCAAGGTAAGTCATTTCTTATTTCTGCATATCCATTCCACAGAAAAAAAGCCCTGCATCTTCTGCGCTTGGAAGCCAAACTGACTTCACCCAAGAGACTATGGAGACCATGGGAACTGTTGGCTAGTGGACTCGGTCATTTTTTAAAATAATATATAACTGGTAGATTGTTGTTTACTCTTTATCAGACTTCTGACTACATTGACAGCTAAGCTTTCACAGACATTATCTGTTACCTCATTTCCTAAACTCAGTTGCCATCAATTAAATGCTTCATATTTCCTCTTCTTTCTATGCCACTGTCCTAAATTATCTGAGTTCCTAGTAACTTGCTTAACTCTAATAAAACATTCCACTATACAATCCAGCAAAGGTTCATCTTAAAGACTGCTTATGTAGTTAACTCACGCTGTTATCTCTTTTGTAAACTTATAAGCTACAGGAAACTCACTCAGATCTACCTCTCTTGGACCAAATAGATGCCATCCAGAGAAGTACATCTGCCTAAAGTTCCCACTTACTACCTATAACAAAGGGTGGGATCCCTCTGGGTTTCAAGTGTACATCTTAGAAAATTTTTCTTTCTCCCAAATGTACTTAATCTTATTCCCTACATCTTGAAAGTCCAGACACATCTAGAACAGCTCCAGAGAAGCAACCTCTAGATGTTCCATCTCCTGTCACACACACAGCTGCTTCTACTGGACCTGTCCCTTCTGACCTATCCTCAGATGGCTCCATAGACCCTGGACAGCAGGAAACAGCCAACTCTCCTAAGACAAACATCCCCCATACCCATTCTTCTAGGTTCTCCCTAAAGACACGTTGCCCCCAATGCCAGCAGGAAGTAGCCAGATATCACGACGACCCTATTCCTGCTCGCTGTCACCTCTTTCTAATTTTTCTTTTTAATTAAATCAAAACGTGGGAATGTTAGTATTCTGTCTAAACTCCACCTCCACAGATACCTGGCAACAGCCAGGTAGGCCTGCCCACTATAAAAGGGGCTGTTTGCCCCCTCCTCTCTCTCTTACCCTCTTACCCTCTTGCTCTCTTGCCTGTAGCTTCTCTCTGCCCCCTTCCCTTCCCCCTCTCTCCACGTGGTCATGGCCGGCCTCAACATCTCTACTTCTCTTTCTCTCTCTCTCTCTGATATTTCTCTCTCTCTCTCTCTCTCTCTCTCTCTCTCTCTCTCTCTCTCTCTCT